TTGAGTCAAGAGGAAGTAGCGCTGTACCGATCCTTAGTGGGTAGTGGCATTTACCAGGAAAGATTGGATTTGAGCTTCACGATCAAAGAACTTGCAGGATGAAGAAGCTCATTGGCTATCTTAAGTCAACAGAAGGTCAGCGCGTGAAGATTCCATTTCCAACAAGAGGACGTGTTATGTGCACACTCTCAACTCAAACATGGCATATGGAGCCATTGACTAACAGCTTCATCTGTACGTGCGGTGAACGGATGTGTGGTCTTTCCAACATCGAGAGGACAGGAAGTAGTCAGTTTGAGCAGTGCTGAAAGTGAACTACATGCACTAGTTGGAGGCGCGTGTGATGGAGTATTCATTCAGCAATGTCTCAAATTTCTGACAGACGAAGACGTCCAACATTTTTGCTTGTTGGACTACTCAGCAACGATAGAGGTCATGCGCAGACGAGGAAGTGGAAAGTTGAGGCACATCAGTGGAAAACTTCTATGGCGCTATGGTGTCAAGAGAAGGTTTCTTCGAAGGAACTTGAAGCCTTGAAGTCAAGCAGATTGGAACTGTTCACAATGTGTCATATCGGAACCAAGCCGCTTAGCCAGCAAAGGTTGAAATTCTTATGGAGACGGCGACAGAGTCGGTGAGAAGGAAAGACAAGAAGTTGAAGAGACAGAGATATGCAACGTGGCAAGATCCAAAGATTAGCCAAAGCGCTCGAGAAGATTAGGTATGCAAGCGGCCTTGGGTCGGTGGCGCAGGCGGAAAGAACCGAGATGACGTTGCAGGAGGAGAACTTCTCAAGAACATGGCGGGTGATTCTTTTCGCAATGGCAGTAGTTATATTTGGTGTATTCCTGTCCTGGAAGAAGTACAAGAAGCTATGTGATCAATCAAGGGCAGCTTGATTCTATGAGAGATGATTATTGCCAACGCCTTCACAGAGCCATAGTGAAACAAAACGGCTATGTGGAACAAGAAGAATTGACTTCAGAAGAAGAGAGATGCATGAAGTTTCTTGAGAAGGGTAATCGAAGATGGGGACGAGAAGATGGCAGAAAGACTCATGGCGCATGAAGCTAGTGTGAGGAGACGAAAAGTGAGTTACACAGAAGAGAGGAGGAGACGAAATCAGCCAGATACTCCAACTCCAACGCCTTCGAGAGGAAATGGAGCAGGAGCGTCAAGCTCAAAAACAGGAGAAGAGAATGAAGAGAACCTGAGTGGCGTGACAGCTACAGTTCTTCTGGATAGTGGAGAAGAAAGTGAGATTGCAGTGGAATGTTTGAGCGCAGAAATAGTAGCAAGAACCATGGATGAGAGGCAGCTCACAGCTCCTCCACCATTTGAGCCCCCAGACGAACCAGAAAGAGAAGTGGAAGGACCAGAACTTCCAGATAATGACGCTGATATGACAAATGCCGCAGCAATGAGAGCAGCTGGAGAAGGAGAAGCAACAGATGGACCCATAGATGTCGATGAGTACATGGACACTTTGAGGGCCAGAGCATCATTGCAGGCGCGAGAAGAATTGTTGAAACTTGAAGACAGTATCAAGTTCTACAATAGAGTTGGCGACACAATGAAGCCGCGAAAGCTCTACGAGGAACTACAGAAAGTGGTGACTTTCATCACAGATTGAGTGGAAATCGTGCCAGAAAAGAGAGCAGCATTAACTCCGCCATATATATATAGCACATTATATATACAAATATATATATATATTCTTTTGGGGGGGCCAATATTGGGTCTCAGGCGGGGAGAGTCTTCGCCTGGAGAGGCGTGGTTCCAGCTCAAGGTTCGAAACATGTTGATACATCAACACGCCAGCACTGCAAGGTTGTCGTACTTCGTCAACCTAGTATGTTTTGGAATTCGGCCTGCATTTTGAACAGCTTAGACCTGGCCTGAGCATACTGAGCCCGTTGGGCGGTAGATGGCCTAGATGGCAGTGGTTTGCTCTGGCCTCTGGCGGTCCCCCGTGTCATGTCAGACTGGCATGGAAAAATAAGGTTCGGATGAATATGCCGCTGTTGGAATCTGCATTCCAAGTTTCTTTGGTGCAAAGTGCAAGGGTGTGAACATGTTTGAACATGGTTTGAAGTTTTGCGGCAGGGAACGCGTGTGTCAAACTCGTCAAACTCAGGCAAGCCCAGTCAAGAGCCACTTCCAACCAGCGAGTTTGCGGTTTCTGGCAAGCGAGGACCATGCAATAAAACTGTTTTGATAGTTTTGCAACGTATATAAAGTGGAAGGACTTGCAGCAGTTCATTTTGTTTGGAAGGACTTGGTGGACGCATCTTCTGAGGATCGTTTTTGTGGTTTACCACGAACATGTCGTTTAAGAGTGGGTCTGTGATGATTGTGCGCCAGGCTATTGCATCGTATGAAGCTTGTGTGATCTTTCCATACGATGTGTTTTGACCCCAGTATGCACTTTTGCGAGTTCCAAGAAGTTTTGTTTTGCAATTGTAAGTTTGGGTGCCCTTTGAACTATCGGAACTACCGCAAGACATAAACATGTGAAAAGAGGAAACACCTCGCACATCAGATTGAGCCAGTATGCATTTATGTTTTATGTGGCCATTTAGGTCGCAGATGCGCTTGTACGAACTTTATGCCTTGGCTTTTCCTCTCTTTGTGCTGGGGCCGCTGGAGGGTACAGAATTGACTATATAATCTGTAGACCAGAGCTATTTCACATCACGTTATGCCATCAGCCTTCGGAGAATTGAGCGTCCAAGGCCCGAGCGGAAGCAGCTCCCAAGCTACATATACCGTGGCCTCACAACGATTGAGGACTCAGCGGACTCGTGACAATTGGTCGCACTCTAATTTTTTGTTGTCTAACAGAACGTGTTTTTCAAGATTGGATCAGTGGCATTGTTTCGGCAGGACTTTAATCATGTCCTCGTTCAGCAAGGCTTGGCAGTCTTAGCGGAATATTTATTTGGACTATATTAATTTGATATTGCACACAAAAGGTATAGTTAGACCAGTAAAGTCCGAAGGAGAGAAGTGGCGAGCCGAAGAGATGACAGGGCCGCACTTAGACTACAATCCGATGCTCAGTAGCATAGATGCCTCATACAAAAAGGAAAAATCGCCTTGCATCATTGAACAGGTTACTGTATGCTAACTTGATGATACTTGATGGTTTTCAGAACGTTCAGATATCTCATGGCTGAACTTTCACAATAATTGGCAGAGGTTTGACCGAGAGTGGCGGGCGGCAGATTCTTGGACCCAGCTCACACACTGGGCAGCACCCTTGGCGCAGTTTTCAGTCCTGTTTGGAAATGTAACAATTCTAAAACTAGGACTTAGAGGCACTTCGAGAAAAAGTATTGTCTATGTGAAACTCAGACAACTTAGGATAACCTTTTATCTCACTTGGATGTGTTTCTTCTAATTCGGCCTGGAGAGCAGCGAGTCCACCATTCTGCAGTTTCGTCATATACCCAAAAATTTCAAAACCATGATGTTTCCTGTGCTTCAAGGTGAGCTTGCCACATCTCATTCGCTTTGAGCGCGCCTTAGTAATCCAGCATGGATCCGGATGGCAAAAGGCAGAGAAAGTATTTCCAAGAGTTAAGAACCTGGTACGGAGTCTGAACGGAGAGACCACTTCCCTTGTTGCATTTTTTTCTTTAAGATGACCTTTTAAGCTGCGTCCACTCGGTCTCAGGCGAGTGCAGCGCAGCTGTTGAAGAGCTTGATGCAAGACAGGGCGCCGAGAGCGGCGACGGCTAGCTTATATAGATGTTGGTTCTTTTTGGAACGGGATTCCTGTGGCAATGGAGCGCAACAAAGACATGTTACTAAGTGGCAACTCAATCGAGAGACTGACTGTGTCACACTTGATGGACACCCTCACCCCAGATCATACCATCATGCAGTTTTCTGAACGCGGCGTCTCAATGGATAAGAAGAGCAGAGAAGATTTTCGACAGGGACAATGATATGATGACAGATCGTTTCAGGCAGCGCAGCAATTCATGTGGCCTTCCGGGACCATGGGGACTTCAGGGATGTAGCGCATTGACCTACTTTGGTTTGTCGCTGCGACAAGGCGAAAGAAGTTGAAGCACGCATAGTAAAGTAAACGCTGAGCTGTCCTGCACAGTGATGCTTCGAGATTTCCAAGCCATACTCAAAGAGGAAAGATCCTGTTGGAGGCCAGGAGGCCATGGCAAATAGGTTGGAGGCCATTGCTAGTAGTTTGGAGGCTATCGCTGTTAAGAACCTTATGCTATTGGCTATTGGAGGAAAGGTCCTGTTTGATTCGCACCCGGAAAGGAAGACTTGCGCCGGGTCTCTGCTGCTATGCTTCGACAGCAGACACGTCTCTTGCGCCACGTTTCTTTGTGCCTAGAGCATTCTAGAGCGGCAGTTGCCAAAACAAAGCGCACACTTAGCCATGCTTATCCTGGCATTGTATGGCATCGTTAATTTGTTTGCTTTCATTGCTTTCAACTGGTTGCATGATGGCTGTATGTTATTGCAGGTGATGTGCTTCGGGCAGTGCGCTTCTGGACAGCCGCGTTGGGGCATCTCAATGCTGCCTCAAAAAGGTGCTGGCTTTCTGATCTTGCTGAGTTTCGTTCGAGCACGTTTGAGTTTGGAACTGAAGCAAGTTGAAGTAAGAACTCTATGTAACACAATGTATGATCATCGATACCAAGCTCGCATGTACTTCTCTTCCGCGCACAGATAAGTCCAGGAGTTTGCATAATCGAACACACCAAATTAATCCAGCCTGTTCATACGCCAGAACTGGCACCATCCAGAAAGCAAGCCGCTCGATGTGTAGGACTATATGAGATATAATATGAGTTCTACGTTCCCGTCATGTATTGTGTTGCATCGCTGGTTTGAGACAGTGGCTATTGATTGCACGGAGCTGCACGTAGGCAGAAGGAACATGCATCAGAAGGTTCGCTTGCCATTGCATAGCCACATTGTTACAAATGGTTGCTGCATTAATCACCTTGGGATGGTTCATAAGGGCTATGGTAGCGTCATGTAGCGGGAGTCGCTACAGTCTTAGCCATTGGCGAATCATGCCGTGCTCTTGCCGACCTGCGTTTGCTGATGGCCTTTATACGGTTCGGCTTTGATCTTCGTCTCGGTGGACTCGGAGCAACTAGGCAGCACTGAGAAGGAATCAATATAGCGTCAGAAATGTGAGAAGGGTCCAATGCAGGCCACAGGCACACGGGCCCGCCCACGCGGGCCCACGGGCCGGCCAGTCTACTGCCCAACGGTCCGTCCGCTTGCACGGACCGTGCATGGACCGTCCACGGGCTCAACCACCACGGGCCTGACGGGCCTCACGGGCCTCACGGGCCCCACGGGCCCCGCGGATGAGGCCACGGGCTCCAGAGGTATGGTGGTAAGGTGGCAAGGCGCGTGGGGCTGCAATGGCCGCAATTGTTATAGTGGTTTTCTCCTCGTATATTTAGTCTTCGCCGTGGTTCTAACTTTGCTTGTGCCCGTGTTGTTATCTTAAATAACAAAGGCTCAGCGGATGATGGGAGAGGTTGTCCTTGTGCGTTGTGGTGGTGGGAAGTTCCATGGGGCTGCCATGGCTGCGACTGTTATAGTTATCTTCTCCTTGTATGTTTTTCTTGGCTTTGGCTCCAGCATTTCTTGTGTCCGTGTTGTTAAATAACCGCAGGTGATGGCAAGTTTGTCATTGCGCGTTGTTGTGATGGTGGTGAGTTGCGTGTGATTGCAATGGCTACGATTGTTATAGCTGTCTTCTCCTTTTATGCTTTTCGAAGCTGTGGCTCTAGCTTTTCTTGTGTTCGTTGTTGTAGTTTGCGCCATATGTTCTGCGTCAAGGCCAATATGTGGATGTGTTTGCGCAGCAATTTTGTTGAAGCTTTCTTGGGTGACTGCTGCCATCAAATCTGGCACGTGTTCTTGTACGCGCTTCCCAATGAAATGTCAAACTGGGTAACTGTTACTATGTTCGGGTCCCTTTTGATCTACACAGCTTCTTTGATTTCCTAAAGTTTATCTATAATACCGCTTCGTATATAGTTCACGCTCCAAAACCTGAGTTCTCCTTAGTTTTGGACCTTAGCTTCGGTTAAACAAGGAGCCGCGTTTCTTGACCCCTTCGCTCTTGCATACCAGAGACCACTCCAATGGAAGAACTTCAGTATTTTTTGAACTTCCTTTGTTGCAGAACCGACAGTCATTCCAAGGTACATACTGTGATAGGTAACCTCTATATAGTCACCTCAAATTGCAAGACCCAGGGCCATTCAGCAGGAAGAAATTAGAAAGAAGCTCAAGTTTTGTAAATGGGGTTGTCGACATGTTCGCTCTGCTGTGTGCTGCTAGGGAAGCAGTCCTAGCCTGTGATTGGGTTTCCCGACGCATCGGCTGACTCGCGCACCGGGGGGCACCTCGGCTGCCCGTGGGCTTCCTCCTCTGCGTGCGGGACTTCCCCTTTTACATGATCCTTGCAGTGGAGGGACCCCCCGGTGAGTGAGTTGGCATCGGGGCGTGATGTGTGCCCGCCTCCTCCTTCGATGCACCTTCTGCTTGGTCGCGGTTGGCTACCCTGGCCCGGCCGTTGTCACTGCCTGGAGCGCTCCTGATGGACCGGCTCCTCGCGCTGACGCTGGACGGGTCGGCTCCATTGGGCGGCGCAAGCGGAAACGCCTCACCGCCTTCCAAGCATCTTCGGCTGCCGGTCTCCTTCCCATGCCGGGCCCCACGACGATTGCCTGAGCAACAACGCCGGACATGGGGGCAACATCTCAGCCGCAAACCTCAGTGGCCTGGATGGCCCTTGCGGGGGCAAAGACTGGGAGAAGCTGCGAACCCGGGACCTCCAGCACCTGGCACCTCCGTCGGCAGCGAGAGGCCCAGCCTCCGACGGCGTGACCGCTCCCTGTCGCAGGATGCTATGGTGGTGGACGGGGTCGGCGCAGCTGGACGCCTGTATTGCCCTGTGTTTGGCTGCCCCTGCTCGGACACCACACGGGCCCAAGGGTGGACCAGCAACCTTGATAGCGCATGTTGACTCCCACTTAGCTGGAACGCTGAGGGGGCACGTGCCTCAGCAATGGCTGACTGACAACAACCGGCAGCGCTGCATGGTCTGCGGGTTTCAGCGTCTCTGTCCGGTATGGTGTCCACCTGCAGCCCGCGCTGCCTTCAGCGGTAGCGACGCTGGCCGCGCTGCTGCCGCCCCCACACTGCCCTCTCTGGGTGAGCTGCAGTCAGCGCACGCTTCCTGTGGGGACAGGCTGTGGGTCGGGTTTGCGGACTGTTCAGTGTGCGCTGTCAGCACCACCTCGGGCTGGCCGGCGCCACAGACGCGCAGCAGCTGCCTACACTGTGGACCATTTGCGCCGTTGGGCCGAGGGGAACGCCACAGTCTCTGGGACGATGCCGGCCGGCCACCTGGTGGGCCCAAGCCGCGTTTGAGTGATGCCAAGAAACGCGCTTTGACCGGAAAGCGTGCAATGCCCTCCTGCAGAATGGGCTTTGTCCTGAAACAGCCGACACTGTGGCAGCCCTCCGTGCTCTCAGCCCAAACCGCGCTTGGACCTTGCCTCCTTGACCTTGGCTGACGAGACCTCCGAGGACTTTGTGGCCCGAGCACTCCGCAGCTTTCCAGCAGACACAGCCCCCGGCCCTTCGGGCCTCCGCGTGCAACACCAAGGCCAGGTTTGCCCGGCAATTGCCCCAGTGCTTGCTGGCGCCGGTCTGGTTGCCGTTCCCAAACCCAACGGCGGTGTGCGCCCCATCGCTGTTGGCGAAATCCTCCGGCGGCTCACAGGCAAGTACCTCATGCAAACCGTGCAGGAGGACGCTCGGCGGGCATTTTGGCCGACGCAGCTCAGGGTGGGCATCAAATCCGGAGCTGAGATCGGTATCCACACTGTGCGGGCTTGGACCCAGCGGAACGGAACCGCCGCCAACAAAGTTCTCAAACTGGATTTTGCCATTTCCCGCCACCACGTCCTGGAGAGTGCGACAGTCCAGTTCCCTGGGCTTGCCCGTTGGGTCACATGGTGCTGGAGCCTTCTGCCCTGCGCTTTGGGACTGCTGTCATCTCGTCACCTGGTTGGTGCAACAGGGAGACCCCTTGGGACCATTGTTGTTTGCTACAGCCATTCACCAACTCACTCAAGAACTCTGAGCCGGGCCGCTGGACCTCGCTCTTTTCTATTTGGACGATGGCATCATCGCGGGGGATGTGGCAGCCGTTGGTGCTGCTTTGGGCCATATTCAATCGCGTGGCGCTGCCTTGGGCCTGGCTTTGAACGCCGCCAAATGCGAGGTGGTTGCAGTTGGCCAGCTCCAACATGCTGACCTGGTGCCGCACCTCCCGTCCGAGTTCCTCTCTGGCCGTGATGGTTCCTCGAGGCTGCAGCGGGATTTCGAGTTTCTTGGTGGAGCAATTGGTGGCGACGCCTTCGTTGATGCCCACACCAAGGGGCGGGTTGAGGCAGTTGGCCCTTTGCTTGACGCCCTTGCTGCGCTGGGCGAGGCCCAAGTCGGGCTGCGCCTGCTGCGACCCTGTGCTGGCTACGGCCGCCTAGTTCACAGCATGCGCTGCAACCCACCGCATTGCCAAAACGAGGCCCTCCAGCTTTTTGATCTGAAGATCCAGGCAGCTTTTTCCAGCGTCACGGGCCTCCACTTAACCGCCATGCAGCGAGCTCAAGTTGGGCGGGGCTTGGCCTTTGCCGGAGCTGGGGTGCGGAGCAGCTCGCTTGATGCGCCTGCTGCGTTCTTGGCTTCCGTCGGGGGTTGCGCCTCGGCTTGTGAAGAGGTCGACCCTGCCTCTGTGGCTGCTGCCGTGGTTGTGGACCCTGCTTGCACTCAAGCCACAGCGGCCTTGAATGCGAATTTGCTGCACCCCTTAGGTCCTGGGGCGGCTTTGAGCCTCAAGCAGAAGGCCCTTACCCGCTTGCTGGATGAGGCATCTTGGCAAGCCCAGCTCGGGTTTGTCCCTGCGCTCGATTTCACCCGGATTTTTTGTCGCTACGAACGTGACAGTCCCGAGATCATGCTTTCTGGACTTTGAAGAGACTCACCTATGCAGATCTGTCTTTTCTGTTTTTTGCGCACAGTGGCCCTGCGGCAGAGGTGGTAAGGTGGTGAGGTGTGAAGGCGCGTGGGGCTGCAATGGCTGCAATTGTGGCTATGCACTGTAAGAGTGGATGGGAGTGGACGCAGGTTTATGAGTCCACCCACAAAACGTGGAACCAAACCGCGGACAAGCAATGACTTCGGGGTGCCCTTTTTTCTCTTCCAAACGCCCCCTTCCTCCAAAGGCAAAGGGGCACCCTGCCCCCCCGACCTGAAGGCAGGCCTGTCGTGTCGGCCCCGCCTTATGCCTCCCAACCCTTCCCCTGCGCTCTCGCGTTCATTCTGTTGACCATATTCATATCTCCTTGCGGAGGCTGGTTTTCGCCCCCTCCCTTCTCAGGCTCTGATCCGTTTATGACTTATTGGTCGCAATCAAACACAACCGTGTTCGGCTTGGAAGTTGGAATAGGCTAGGTGGACTTTCTTGGCTGATCTGGTAGCGCTGGGCAACATTGTCGCTGCAAAGCCTCTTGCATTCGTACGCGGAAACTATTCGGAAGGGTCGAAAGCTTCTCAAACTTGCTTGGTTTGTTTGATTGCAGTAAACCAACATTGAGATGTAGCTACGGCGCGCCGCTTGGGAAGATTTGCGCATTACATATATTGTTTTGTCTTGGGGCCATGGTGATTCGGCATGGAAATCATAATGTAGCCTTGGCAAAATCATCGCAATATGAAGGAGCAGAACTTCATTGCGCGTGCATCTGAGGTTGTTGGCTTTGACAACATTTACTGCCAGGATCCAAACAAAGCACCCCTCGGAGGACTCACAGCTCAAGAATCCGGCATTTGTTGTAGGATTGGCCTGATGGACTTAAATAACGCATTTCAGGAGATGACGCTGCGAATCAGGCCAATGAACTCAACAAGTTGTCAAGTTCTCAACATTTATTGAAGCAAGATCCGAGTTCTCTTGTTGATGGTTTCCCCTGTTGTAGACAGGAGTAGGTGCAGGTACGCCTCAGAAAAACACCTTGCATTTTTATAAAACTACAGGTCGTCTGATATAGTTGCAGATGGTTCTTGGTGTGGAAACGAGTAATTCCCATTGAATTGTCCCACTGTCCTGATTCAGTCTGCGAAGGTTGCGTCTCAAAGCTGAGCCCTCAGTTGTGGGTCGTTTGAGATTCAGTGTGCAGGCGCAGATCCAAAGTCGTACCTAGTCAAGACCTTGCTGTTTTCAGCATGAATTTCCTTCAGGAATGCGAACTAGCTATCACCTTCCAAAACCTATGTTTGGAATGGGTACTTGAGGCATTTTACCCTCTGGGACTTTTTACCTTTTTCATGTGTCCTGGTATCAGAAACTAAACATAACGAAAACTCATCAGTAGACTTGGGAGTTATACAGACAAAGGTTTGGCTGCGCGGACACAAGTCTAGTGGACAAACTCTCCCTTCAACTACTGTATATACAATTTGCTTTTTGCTTTCCATACTCTGGTTTTTGCTTGTATTGTCCGATTCTTCGATTCCCTGGTAATCATACAAGATAGCGAGTTTGGATAACAAAAAAATAGTGGAAAGACGTTTTGGACATTGGGTGTTTCACTAAACCAAGATGGTGGCAGAACAACTGCCTTACCTTTCAATTTGGCTCAAGGCTGAAAAGTGCTGAGACACCACAAAACGTGGTTATCAGCCGTAGGCTCTTTGGTTTGTCCTTTGCCATCTGCATCCCGTGATTCGTTTGGTCGTCATCTCCTTCCTGAGTGCCTTTCTTGCGGCTTCGCACTGCTTTGGAGAATCTCTACCTGTTGAATCTCGGCATTGAATGCCAAGGGGAGAGAGGGGTGGAAAGAAAACCCAAGCAAGTAAGGATCGGGCCAAAGAGGTGGCCCAAGGTTTGAGGAATCCCAGGCAAAATCCCACGGGTGCCTCGGGGTTGGAGCGGGTCCGTCAAATTGAGTCACAGGTAGCTTTGGCAGAAGCTCGGCCCAAGGATCCTCCAACGAAACGCCTTAAGACTCCAGGCCACATCCCTGAAGTAAGTGCTCAAAACGCGCCATCGTCCTCATCGTCTGTACCTAAGTCCACTGGTCGAGTGCCTGTTGAAGACGCGGAAAAAGAGGTAAGCGGAAAGGAAGTTGTGGTTGCTTCAGAGATTGACATTGAAAGGGTCATCCCAAAAGCTCCGCCGGCCAGGGCATCGGAACCTGTAGGGACTGTTTCCCTCCGGCCTTCTTTTGGTCGGGAAGTGGCAGGGCCTTCGGCTCCCTTGGGAGGAGAGGATCTTAAAATCCGGTTGTCGGTGGATCTTCACGGAGTTCTCGATTTGGATTCCCACGAAGACGGGGTATTCAACGTAGAGTCTCGAGGTGCTCTGTGTGGTTGGTTGCACTCCAATAAAAGGTTCCATCAGGCAGGAGTTTGTTCCTACATTGGTCATTCAGGTCCCAAATCTCAGGAAAGGAGGGTTCAGGCAAAGAGAGAGGTGAATCGATTCAACGACGATTTCCATTGTGATCTTCGGTTGCTTTTGACTTCTGATAAGAAGAAAAGTGCACTGGATCCATCAGAAGTGAGTTGCCATATTGACGACCGATTGGATTTGGCATACAGCCTTCGTGACAGAGGAGTACCGGTCATTTTGGTGAATAGCCCGAAGAGCTCACCAATTGGAATTCCCGTGTGTTGATTCATTGCAACAGGCGCTTAAGGAGGTCACTCGGTTGAAACTCGTTCCCAAGCCCTTTTCCTCGTGGCCTGGGATCTTCACTACTCGCTGTTAGAGCAGCGGCAGTCGCTCAGCGCTTGCGCGGGGGCTGCAGCCTTGCCCAGCGCTTGCGCGGGAAGGTCGGACGACGCTTGGCTGCGCAGTTAAGTTGAAGGAGTAAATGGATTCATCAGGGTCTAGCTTTCAGCTGACTAGTTCATCAAGCGTTTTCGGTTTACCGGCAGGAGGCCCACCGCGTGAGTCCAGTAGTGGAGCGTCGAGTGACGCAAAAGCCAGGAAACCCAGAAACACTGCAATCAAGAAGGCTTTCTCACTTACGAATAGGTCACCAAGAGTTTCGAGTGACACCTCAAGCCCTCCGCCCTTGGTTGACATGTCCCATGTTCAAGTGGTAGATCCTCAAGGGGAGAGTGTCCCAATGGACGTGCATCATCAAACATTCATGGATCAAAGATCCATTCATGTTACTCAAGGGGTTGATCCGCAAGTGGTAAGTCAGTATGCAGCTTCAGCTGCAAGCGCCGAGCATAGAGCCCAAGCAACCGAAGCGGTTGCACAAGCAAGGGAAAATGCTTTGCAAACGGCCGCAGCGACAGCTGTGGATGCAGCTCAAGCAGTTGCTTGTGCCAGGATCGAAACGACCAATGCCCAGGCATCTGCAGAAGCTCAACGGTCAGGTTTCGTGGCGGAACTGAACAGCCAACGTGCAAGTTTCATGGCTGAACTTAGTAGCCTTCGAGCTCAGTTGGAAAACTCCCAAAGGGAAACCTCATTTTGAGAAACCAGCTGGAAATGACAAACCAAGAAACTGGCAATGAGCACCCAAACGCTATGGATATCTTTAGGATTGAGTCGCGACTTGCTAGGATGGAGGAACAGCTTGAAAGGGTTGAGGCGAAATTGGATACTCATCAAGATTACATTCAGGAACTTTGGATGAGTCAACCCCCTGCTCCCCACATGTCAGGATGCATGATCAGGACCATATAGATCTCGATTTATTTGGTGAAAATAGGAGTTCAGTGCCCTCTGAACATATGGACATCGAGAAGCAAAGCCTCCGTACCAAAGATCTTCATCATCTCAAGATCCCGGCGCTACCTGAAACAGCGAGTGCCTACAGGACCTGGCGTAACGCGGTCAGGACATCCATTCTTTCCTTTGACCAGTCACCTGAAGGACATCTGACACCATGGTTGGCGGCTGCCTTCAACGCAAGAGGTGTCGAGTCGGATCAGCTAAGGGAATCATCGGGGGACTTTCCGCGTTTCGACAGAGTGATCGCATCCATTTTGTGCAAGCCCGAGGTTCTTAAGACATCCTGTGGATTACGGGTTACGGGTTCAAAGTTATGTTGAGGCCTGCAAGGCTGCAGGTGCCCAAATAAGGGGACGGTATATCATCAATCAAATTGCCCGTGAATACGACGCGTCAGCTGCGGCTGGTGCGATCACGAGCTCCCTTGAACTTTTCCAGCTGCCTGCACCTCAGGATGGGGCCGCCGCCCTCAAGCATTGGAGGGATAAGGTAGTGTATATTTTGAGTCAACTTCCCACGGCTCAACGCCCCAATCAAGACCTCATGTCCCAATGGTTGTACAATACTCTCAAGAAACACCCATTGTTGCGACGAACCATTGACAAATTCATGGATTCACCTTTGGACTCATATCAGAGAACTTTTGATGCATTGTGGCAGGGCGTTGAAACTGCGTTGGTTGAAGCGCAGTATGATGCGAATGTTCAGTCCATTAAGGATGATTTGAAGAAGGGGCCCACTCTTTCCAAGAAAGCCATGCCAGCTGCGCCCAACGATGGTAAGGCCAAGAGTAAAGGTTCCAAGGGGTCATTCAAGGAGGGAGGCAAGAGTTCCAACAAAGGTAAAGGAGCTTCTAATACCTCCAAGACTGACAGCAAGCCTAAGGACACGTCTCCCAAGGAGAAAGGTGGAGGTCCCAAAGGGGCCACTCCTCCGGCCAAATCTTTGACCAATGAGGAGAAAGCGTCATCTCCGTGCATCTACTTTGCCAAGAATCGATGTATGAGAGGTGACAGCTGTCCATATTCGCATTCCTCGAGTACCACCACTCCCAAACGGAAGGCAAGTTCTGCGGCGACGAGTTCTCCGCACGCGCCGTCAGGCCGCAGTGGCAATGTTGACGTCACTCGCTTCTGCAGCTGTGTCTCCGTCGGCGCCGCCAATGTGCTTGGATTTTGTCGGGGATACTGGGGCCGGGGAAACACTCGGTTCGGTACAAGCACTGCGTCGACAAGGGTTTGAAGTTCCTGACGAGGTTGTCACTGCAACATCGCAACCGGTGCAATTTTTGACAGGAGGGGGGGCAAAGGCAGGTACGTCGACGGTTGGTTTTTGGACTCAAGAATTTGACCGGTTGCACAACATGTATCTTTTGCCCAATTGTCCATTAGCGCTGTCTATTGGCCAACTTTGCCATGAGGGTTACACGTTTCTTTGGTCAGGTGATACGCTACCTATGCTCATCCCACCAACCGCTCGTTTTGATTACGAGGTGGAAGGACCTGTGACTCCGGCCATTCGCGTCGATCACCATGTGCCAATTTTCCGGTTGACTGTCGCATGCACCCATGGTCTCCCAGCCACCTCTTCCTCTTCCCATGATGTTCCTGTGGGGGGGGGTCATGCAGCTTTTGGTTTGGGTGATCCCAGTGGGGACAAAGGGCGGCATAATGTTGATTCTGAAGTTCTGCCAATGCATCCTGGTGGTGATGGGGACTCAATGGTCTTCGGCCCTGCGCCTGGCGCGGGCGAGGCTAGAGGGGATCCGGACCCACAAGAAATCATTGACAAAGAAGAAGAAGAAGTTCTGGAAACATCAAAACATCACCTCATGACTCATCTTCCGAAATCCCGAACTTGCGATACTTGCAAGAAAGCAAAGCTTTACTCTGCACCTCATCGAAGAGAAATCAACATGAACTCCCGAATAAAAGAAGCCAAAAGGGTCGAAGCTCCCGAAAGGTACCTCGAAAAGATATCCATTGATCACATTATTGTGGGTCACGATGTTGGGTTTCGCGGGGAAACATGTTCGGTTGTTCTTGTTGACCATTTCACGGGTTTGATTTCACTTGTCCCATGTAAGAGCAAAGAGGCAGATGAGGTTGAAGCCGCTCTCAGGCGTTTATGTGGGAAATGGAAGCCGGGAGTCATTCAGGTTGCCAGCGACCGCGCTCCGGAGATAAGGAGAGCGGTGAGGGAGATGGGTTTCTCAAGCGAGCCTTCACCTCCCTATGAATCAATCCACAACACCAAGGCGGAATCTGCAATCAGAACTGTTACAGGTATGTCTTCATCCATTTTGCTCCACGCAGGTTTGAACCCAGACTACTGGCCACTGGCGTTGACCTATCTTGAATGGGCTTACAATGTGACCACGCT